GATACAGAAATAATAATAACTATTATGTACATCAATAACGTTAAGAACGTACAGTAACAACGGAAAATGTGAGTTAGCATAGTGTTAATAGAAAAATGCGGTACCCCCTTCCCCCTCCCCCCCAAAAAAAAAAAAACAATGAAATAAATATAATAAGTTAATGCGCCCGTTATCCCCTCCAGTCTTCTTCGGAGGACTCCCTCGCGGTTGTTTACATCGTGTTCGTCCTGATGTTCTTCGCCGCTTCGCTCCTCGTCATCATCATCAAGTACCTCCGTCGAGAGCGAGAGTCTTCGCGTCTCCAGCAGTTCTACGAAGACTACCTGCAGAACAAGTATCCCAGGTAAGACTGTAAACGAAAGAGGACGTCGTTTGTCTGTTCTAATTGGCAGTGGGGGGAAAGATCGTTAGGAGTTTCAGCGTGGAAAGTTCTCTGTCAAGTTATGTTGCTGTTTTAAAGGATTAGTTTGTGCAGTTTCTCTCTTCGGTGCTTTACAAAGGAGGTCTGATGAGGTTTAAATGCAGTCCTGTGGTTATAGAGGAGAGTGTTTATTTTCTAATAAATATTTTTTATTGTTCAGGACTGGAGGGCAATGGTGGATGAGGCCAAGTTGGTAAAGGTAAAAAACAAAAACAAAAAAAACTATGCGATGCTTATGCAAAATTATTATGCCTTTAAAGTTGATATAAAGCTCTTTGATGTTGAAGTCGAACGCAGCTATGTGGCTGTTCAGAATTATGGCCGGGTTCACTTTGGTAAGATATAAAAAGCCTTATTTTTACAGGTAATGTTAACAATGCCACCAGAACACATTCGGCACTTGAACTCCTATGCATGAATGGTAGGAAAAGATGATACTGCTTATTTCAGACATAATTTGCAGTATATTGGCAGCGCAGTAACTAAAGCGATAAATACTTCATACCCTTTTCAGCTTACACCATTTGAAAATGCAGTAAATCAGACGGCTGCATTTCGGAGTAAATTTAGTCTCAATAACAGCATGAATTCACAACATCATGATACTATTCCCCATATCATAGTGATTTACTTCATCCATGTACACACGCTACTCGTATGTGTCTGTGTTTTTGTCCGTTACAGTACACACAAGCGTAATGGACCAGTAATACTTCCTATGACTACTATTACGAATTACATCAGCGTGTAATACTGTGCGTAGACTAGATACTAACAAGGCTCATCTTTGCAGTTTAGTGGTCCATTATGACGAGACTGGACGACGCCTTCACCCTCAGCAGTCCTTTGATTCCACTCGTTATAGCAGTCCGCCGCCCACGCCCCTCGTGTCTCCAGTGACCACGCCCTCCGTTACGCCAATCGCAACGCCCATGTTGACGCCCACAGACTCCCCTCTTGAAAGTCCTCTCTAAGAGGAGGCGAGAGGTCAGGGCCAAATGTAATATGAAAACAAAATATGGCAGCCACACATCTAAAAAGTTTAATTGAATTGAACTGGAATACTTTCCAAAGGGAGTGACTAGAACATATATTTGTTATTTATTTATTTTTTGTCTGTTCAATGAGATAAATATATGCGTGTATTTTGCAGGTATGGATTTGAGCTTTTGTTCTTTACAAGTGATGTTATGGTAACTCCGTACTGGTTAATTCTCCTATTTCAGTGCGTATTTTACTCTAGTCAGACATATTTCATGTCAGTATAAATTGGAAAATGTATATTTATATTTTTAAAGAGGCATGATTCATATTCACGTACCCAATTCGAAAAAAAAAACATATTCTCACAATTAAATATAAGCGCTTATATATTTTTTTTGTAAAAAGTTTACCAGTGCAATAAAACAAACAAACATACAGTTTTCAGACTTGTATGTACTACATACTGGTGTGTACTAGTCGGCACTGAAATGTGTGACGTAAATGGATCAAGAAATATATAAAGAATGATATAAAGAAAGGTATCAGTAGCACATTCACTATATGTACATATCCGACATTCACCTATATTTACTGTGAATATATGTAGTCTTCTATGTAATTCGATAAGTTGTTTGATGGAATATTTAAATCTATATGGTACCTGTATTTCAGTAGTTTCCAGTATGATTTTCTTCATATATCTAATTTCATCGCTTTTTTATTAGTAAAGTTTACCTGGATATAATAGGTCAGTTACCAACCAAAGAAAGTTTGATTTAGTTCGAGTTTTATTTACGATCCTCGAGTGTTACATTTGTATGAGACGAAATGAGTGAGTCTATGTGGGAGAGTGAGTGAGTGAGTGAGTGAGTGAGTGAGTGAGTGAGTGAGTGAGTGAGTGAGTGAGTGAGTGAGTGAGTGAATGAATGAATGAATGAATGAATGGATGAATGAATGAATGAGTGAGTGAGTGAGTGAGTGAGTGAGTGAGTGAGTGAGTGAGTGAGTGAGTGAGTGAGTGAGTGAGTGAGAGAGAGAGAGAGAGGAGAGAGAGAGAGAGAGAGAGAGAGAGAGAGAGAAGAGAGAGAGAGAGAG